ACACTTTTCATACTGGGCATGGCATGTGTACGCATTACCACATTCAGTATGAAAACAGCTTTCAAAAGTATGCGTTGCGCACCAAACAGTAGTCTGGATCCAGTATGATGTCAAACCTGTGTGATTTCACAACATACTGGATACAAATTACTGCTTTGCGCACAAGGCATACTGTTGAAAACCATTTTCGCATTGGACATGATATATATATATTCATACACATATGCGACATTTAGTATGAAAATTGTTTTTCAACAGTATGCGTTGCGCGCAAAACAATAGTATGGATCCCGTATGATGCCTTAGCTGTGCGACTTCACATCAGACTGGGTACAAATAGCGCACAACATAATAGTCTGGATCCAATATGAAGTCATAACTGTGGGACTGCACATCATACTGGATACAAACTATTGTTTTGTGCAAACACATACTGTTGACAACACTTTTCATACTAAGCCTGGTAAAAATACGCATTACGACATTCAGTATCAAAGCTGTTTTCAACAGTATGCGTTGCGCACATAAAACAACCGGTGGATCCCGTACAATGCCATACCTGTGGGATTTCACATCATGCTGGATACAAACTACTGCTTTGCACGCAACGCATACTGTTGAAAACAGGTTCCAAACCGGGCACGGTATGTATACATTTTACCACATTCAGTATGAGCTTTGTTTTCAACAGTATGCATTGTGCACAGAAAAATAGTTTGGACCCAGTAGATGCTATACGTGTGGGACTTGACATCATTTTGGATACACACTACTGTTTTGTACGCAAATTTTGTACGCAAACATATTGTTGAAAACAGTTTTCCTACTGGGCATGGTATGTATACATTAAGCCACATTTCGTATGAAAAAGGTTTTCAACGGTATACGTTGCGCGCAAAGCAATACTCTGGATCCAGTACGATGTGGGACTTCACATCATACTGGATGCAAACACTGTTTTGAACGCAACGCATACTTCTGAAAACAGTTTTCATGCTGGGCATGGTATGTATACGATTGAATCTGAAACTGTTTTCAACAGAACGTGTTGCGCACAAACACAATCGATTTGTCATACCTGTGGGACTTCGCATCATACTGGATACAAGCAACTGTTTCAGTGCGCAACGCATACTGTTGAAAACAGTTTTCATACTGGGCATGGTATCTATTCGTATTACCACATTCAGTATGAAAACCGCTTTCAAGAGTATGCGTTGAGCACAAGAAACTGTCTGGATCCAGTATGATGTCATACCTATGGGACTTCGCATCATACTAGATACAAACAATTGTTTT